CAGGATTAACATTTTGTACATAAGACTCTCGTTTCGTCTACAAAGACTCACCAGTGACGCTCCGAATAAAAAAAAACTATAAAGGACTAATAAAGTACGAAGTTTAAGAGCATTGAGTCGTCTCTACGTAAGAGAACTAGTCAGTAGAATACAACTATTTGTAGCTGAACTTTATAAGTAATGCAGATATTAATCGTAACTTGTGAGGTTTCATAAGTGAACACAACGTGATGTTCAGTCGTTATTTATAGACAATATTTTCTTTAGGAGAAAAAGTAAGAATCATAATTTGTAATTCAGGTTTTGAGTTTCTCGTTATGGAACTTAGTCGAACAACGCTTACGGCAACATCGTTGGATCTGTTCGATGTCATCTGAAACATAAACACGACATTCTCCGAGAGCTCTTATATTTAGTCTTGATACCCTTATCAGTAGAATGATTATTCATAAACAATTTCAAAATATTTAATACAATAATCGACCAGATTCATACATTTTGTCTCGCCTGCGTCAAAAGTCGCAGATTGCCCCTCTACATAGGGATTTATATCCCTTGTCGACGTAAAGTATTTGCATAAAGCTTTATATGTCAGAAGGAAGATACGGAAGCCCATAGAGGACATAATAAAATAATATTATATCGTTATCTCAATATATATATCGTTATTTCGATATAATTAAATCGTTATCTCTAAATTTATATCGTTGTATCGATATATTTATTTCGTTATTTCGATATAATTATATCGTTATCTCGATATATTTATATGTCTGGGGGATCCATCTGAAATAATACAGTAAATTGATTTATTAAGCAGCATTATTATCAGTCACTACACTCAATTAGGCCCCTTGAGAATTTTAAGGAGATAACACCAGAAGCTGGAATACTGACAAAGTCAGAGAGGGTCCTGCGCCATAATTATATATGTCTAATTTCAACCAAAATTTTAAAAGATGTACATAGAAAATAAAAGGATATGGAGTAAATGTACATGGACAAAACCGCACACAATACATATATATAAATAAAAAAATATCAATGAACAGGGCTTTTATTCCTGTTCTTCATCTTGACAGTTGATGTAGGGTCTCCATCAATGAACGAATCATTCATACCCTACAACAAGGTCAAGACGGCCCCTGGCGTCGACTTAAGCGGCACTATTGATAAAAATAAACCACTGTTCACCTTCTTGCTCCCCACCCGCCTCGCAGTGCCAACATGTGCGATGCTTGTGTACGACGTTTCTCCAGTCGAAAGCCTCAGGGATACCAGAAATATGCAGTAATTTTGAAAGACCTCGATCGCCGCTAAAATATGAGTTGAAGTTACACATGTCGGGAGCGGTCAATGAATTACATAATAAATAATTACGGGCGAGGTTTTTCAACACATATTTTTCATACATTGCCCAACAAAAGACCAATACATATAATACATGACCATCTTAATATGATGATTATCAACCGATCCTCAATATGGGGCCCTAATGAAGACAGAATGTGTCCATGGGTCACATATGCCCTGCCTAAAATATAAAGTAAACTAGAAAATGTGTCTATGAGCCACAGGATGTCCCTCCTGTTATTGATAAATGTATGGTATAATTATCGAGATATCGAGATAATTATATCGAGATTACGATTTAATTATATCGATTTTTAATGAAATAAATATATCGATATAACGTTATAAATATATCGAGATAACGATATAAACATATCGAGATAACGATTTAATTATATCGAAATAACGATATATATATATTGAGATAACGATATGATATTCTTTTTTTTATGTCCCCTATGGGCTTCCGTAGAAGAAGACCTGGATGATTCATACCTTGTATGCGGATGCCTTATGTTACGAAGCTTCCGTCTGTCATACGTCCATTGTCCTTGACCTAATTTTCATGGTCCTGCGACTGCTTGAAAAAATTTTAAAGTTTTATTTGTCTTGTAAAATACTCATTTTCTATTTTCAATGAGTAATTTGATAACTGTAATTAGTGAATGGGATCCTGACAGTGTCTACAAGTCCTACAAAGATAAGGTTCTGACCTCGACCTATTTTCATGGATCAGGTGCTCTAGGTTAAGTTTTCGTGGTCATTTCCGTATCTCAGATCCTATATTGAAAATAGACTAAATATATTTGGTGTATGGCATGATTGAAAGGTGTATACCAGTGGCTTAGCTACCATTGACGCAACGACGCACTTGCGTGCACAAACGAGATGGCCCAAAAAAAATCATAATTAAAAATTCATAGCAGTCAAAAAAAGAAAGAGTGCGATTGACTGTCACTTTATATATATAGGTGTTTCAACTTATCAGAAAGGTTTCCGTGTTTTCTATCAGTTCAGTTTTGTTGTGCGTACATCGGTATATACAATTTTTAGACCATCTACTAAACGAACTACGAGATCGTCTTGTCAATTAGGAAGAACGTTTTCTTGCCCAGATGCTTCTTCCAAACTATCTGAAAAGTTTGAATCGGGACCATCAAATTCGCATATTTCGCGCCTACGAGTCCGATCTTCAATCAGAAGATCAGTTTCTTCTCAAAATTAAAAGGTGGGTTGCGCGATGGGATATTTATCCATCTAAGAAACCAGACCATTTCTGTGCAACATTGAAGATGACGCCTAAAGAACTTTGCCCAAATATATTCTGTATTCTGCAAATACTTCTCACCATGCCACCCTCAACCTCTACTGCTGATCGCTCTTTCAGCGCTCTGAAACGCGTAAAAACGTATCTAAGATCGACCATGGGACAAGAAAGACTTTCTTCACTTGCACTGCTGCACGTTCATTCTGATTTTGACATTGACACTAAAGAAGTTATTGGCACTTTTAACGATGCTAGGCAAATGAAAATGTTACTCTCCTAAAGGACCTCGGTTGTTAACTTCAGTCTTACATACGGTCTTACATACGAACGTCACATTTATATATCACCAAATTAAAAAATTGATTGTTTGAATTGCTTTGTTTTCGTATGTTAACATATATGTCATGAGATGATCCAGTTCTCTAGCCCTTTCTTTCTTTGAAGTATAATAAATTGGCGAGCATTACAAAGTTTTTAGATATTTGTAGTCAGTTTTAGGTCTTTGATTTGATATACTAGTATAGCAGAACACTCAACTGTGCATACTTCACTTCAAAATTAACCATCTTAGATCGAAAAAAGATTCATTTTCTGTAAAAAAAAGGGTCCAAAATTTTTTTTCGCCTCGCTCCGCTCGGCGAAATTTTTTGGCCTCGCTACGCTCGGCAACTGCTGCGTACAGATCATTATAAGTCTAGCTACGCCACTGTATACAGTTTGTCGCGCATGCACTTGTCTCTGATATTTTTTAATATATACCTCAATATAACAGTATATGAAATACGGATATGACCACGAATTATAAAGTTTTATACTAATAGTTTACATCGTAGACACCGCAGCATAGTAATCCCTATCTCATTTTACAGACTTTCAGCATATACAGGCACCTATATACACCCAAGGACTCATGCAGACACTCATACTTTTCATAGGAATCAGCTTCCTGTTGTATTTGTTCAGGCACCATTCGTTGATAGCTTCAGGGAACAGCTCACTCCCGATGTTCGCTGGACTATCAAATATCTTAAAGCATAGATTAAGATTGCATATATATACAATGTAGTTTAAATCACAAGTTTGTTATTTTCATTGCGCTTAATAAATATTTTCTGTTTAAGTTGGCGTATTTTTTTTATAAATAGTCCACGTGTAATTAATGGATGTCGATGGCATATTGTATACCGAAAGAAGATTAGTTATTGCCCTTTAATGACGATTTTTGTGTGTGCGTGTTTGCCGAATATCTTGCAAACTATAATAGATTTAATAGATATATATATATATACATTTTGAAAAGCAAAAATGTTCAGCAAGATAACTTGAGATCACCAAATAAGTCAGCGTCTTCTTATAGGAGTTATTGCCCTTGACTGACGATGTTTTATCCCTTTTCGGGGTGTTTTGGCAAAAACTAAAGAAATTAGAGAGGACTGTAAACATGCAAAATATCAGCAGCACAAGATAAAAAATATCAGCAGTACAAGATAAAAAATATCAGCAGTACAAGATAAAAAATATCAGCAGTACAAGATAAAAAATATCAACAGTACAAGATAAAAAATATCAGCAGTACAAGATAAAAAATATCAACAGTACAAGATAAAAAAAAGAGAGAATTTAGTCACGAATTATACATCTAGCCATTACAATTTTTTTTAAAGATACGCATACGCTAGTGAGCCATCGGCAAATTAGAAAAAACCACTGGCAAAATCACTATGCAAATATTCGAGTACCATAAATTAAGTTGCTTTACAAAAAACAATAATAATCAACGATAAGTACACTACACAGAACACGTGACAAAAAGTGTCTTTTGTCAAGGGTTCTCAGCAAGAGCTATAGCTTCTGTGAATAATCTTATTTATTTTGATACTTCAGTTAAGGATTTTGTTCCGTTTTTCGTTTCTTTTCCTGAAACAAATTCAGCTTGATACTTAATAATGGTTATATATATATTGGCATTTTAATATGAAAATGTTGGTTGATTATGTTTGCTTCAGTTTGTTTCCTTAGTTTGTCCTTGTAGACAAAGACTACTTCAAAACACAGTAGTTTCAGTTGTAGCAGATACAAATGGAACCACTTCCACTTTTCAAATTAACGACTGAAGTTCTACCATAACACATATAATAATACAACAAACAACTTCCTAATTGTAGGCTATATAGCCACTTCCTTCAATGCGACTTTCAGGTGTCGTTTATGGAATGTCTTTCTAATCTGCTAGCCTGTATATGTAGAAGTTCGATAATTGTTTCTAGTTGATTACGCTATCAGCTTTTATAGCGCTTCTGATATTCTTCAGAAAGGCAAAATATGGTTAAATTTCCATTAAAAATCACAGTTGATTTCCAATCAATCTGAACAGCTTTAGTCTAGAACGTGATGTCTCACAACTCTTAATTAATTCAATTAATTGTATTAACTGTATCTGATGCTGATTTTTACACACGTGATGTTTCTGAGCGACATGTGACAAGTTGAAATTTGTAAATATGGCGGAGTTCCATAGTAAAATATAACTTACGGATTAGGATTAAAAGATAATTGCGACACACCTGAGATTCCAAATGATGCATGGGGATGGGAAAGAAAGGGAGTAAACTTGCAGCTGATGATTTAAAGGAATTGTTAGAATGCACATATTGTAAGTTCTTAAACTTATGGTTTATTTAATTTCTTAACGATTTTATTGATATTTTTTCTTAGCATAATACACTAACTAAAAAACAAAACTTGAGTTTTTCCGTTAAACTTTGATGAACAATTGACATCTAGGAACTTCAATTCAGTTGTTAATATCGATATTCAATATTCATAATCATTCCTTTTTCTTTTTGTTTGAAAGGTCAGGGTGGTTTCATTTATTTATGATTCAAAGAAGTATCAGAAGTTTTAATTACTAAATATTTCTATAAAAAGTATAAATATATTGGCATATTGAAAAATTCAGGTATAGATGATCACCTGGAAAAGAAATTATACCGTGTAGAAAATTAAAATGTTCAGATTTAAAGTTTTGAAGCAATGGTATTTGAGCTTGACATATAGTTTAGCCCCTTGAATCTCACCGAGGACTTTAGTTACTGTCTCGTTGACATAATTCATATTCACTTTTATTCATGATAAGTAAAACTAAACAAAAGAAAAGTGTGTACAACTAAAGATATCAAAATACTTTAGTTAAACTAAAGCTAAGGATCTGAAGCTTGATATTAAAAGTAACTAATGCATCTAAGATCTGCTGCGACTAAAAAATACCCGCTTTATTAAACTTAAATTATCATATATATGAAACTAAAAGAACTATAACGTAACCTTTTAAATTAACCACAGTTACATTTAAAAATACTGTCTCGTTGACATAATTCATATTCACTTTTATTCATGATAAGTAAAACTAAACAAAAGAAAAGTGTGTACAACTAAAGATATCAAAATACTTTAGTTAAACTAAAGCTAAGGATCTGAAGCTTGATATTAAAAGTAACTAATGCATCTAAGATCTGCTGCGACTAAAAAATACCCGCTTTATTAAACTTAAATTATCATATATATGAAACTAAAAGAACTATAACGTAACCTTTTAAATTAACCACAGTTACATTTAAAAGTAAACTAGAAATTATATAGAAATGCTATTAAAAAAACAAACCTAACGATATGAAGAAAATGTAATAGATGCCTGTCAAGGGAAGTAGAAAAACACCGAGGAAAGACAAGCGATAGAACAACATCCAGGGAAGACAAGCGATAGAACAATCAAAAAGCTGACTTCTACAACCATCATTAATTCAATTTTGGAGGAAAACTGAAAATAAAAATATATTTGCAATGAGTTAAATAGTATGGAATGTCCTATATGAATAATGGCGCAATTCGGTTAATGACAATGTAGTCTTTTTATTCATATTATTGACCACAAGCGTGTTGTATATTTTTATTTTTGAATCGACAACTGTATCATTCCGTAGATCTAAATGTCATCATACTATATTTATACGACCGAAAAAAGCTGAGGTCGTATAATTTGACATAGAAAATTCGCACTAGTTCTTGAAAGCTGAACATAATGATTGATTTCTAACTTATCTCAAGATTTCCCTGATATTTTTTTTTTGCAATAAAAACAATTTAATAATTTGGTCTGAAGTGCTTTTCTGGATTTACCTTCATCTTGAGAGCTCAAACCCCAAAATATGTATAAGTATACGAGAGCTCTGAATTATGAAAAGAGGAAAAGATAAAAAAAAATATTCAGTCCATCAAGGAAACTTATTTATAAAGGTCATCTATACGAACTTTATTATAAAATCTCTGAATGTCAAATATTGCTTTTTATACTGCTCAACACATAACTGAAAATATCAAACTCGTAAATTAAGATACGATCCATGTTAACATATTGGTCCTTTGAATTAAGTTATTCTTACAAATCATAAATTTTATAATTGTATAAAGATCTTTGAATGTTGCAGTCTTTATCGGTACTAACATTGATTATATTTTCCAAAATTTAATATATATAAATAAACATATACTGCTATATCTAGTTATAAAAACTTATGGCCCTGATTCCTGTCAATATTTATGTTTTCACAAGGGCATGCTTTTCTCAGACTGTTTATGGCATTTTTTTTTCACTAAATCGGTTGGAGGTGTAAGGATTGATATCAGTTTCAATTGGGGTTTAAAAAAATAGATCTCAGTAACTGCAAATACTTTCTTGACAGTTCTTTTGTGTCTTTTGTCTTTAGTGTTTTTTTTTGTTTTTTTTTTTGTTTTTGTATTTAGTACCATTCTGATTAGTCTTACCCATTTCAGCTGTTTTTTATAGATTGTTCTGTTGATGTGTTCTGTTTACACTATGCACGGTCCCTTGTAATGGGAGGATAGAGATAGCACTCTCAAACATGATTAACCCTTCTATATTATTAATGTCCGATGCTAATTGAGAAAACTTGGACCATTTTAAGTACATGTCTTTCAGTTTGAGACACTCGTTTTCCTAAAAAAAATTTGGCGAATTCGTTCTTTAAGTATTATGGATTTGCCAACTTTACACTTCCGGTGCTATATCTTGCCAATTATAGACTTTGCACTTCACCTGGTTATGTTTTTCTTGCACAGTTAATGACGGTTTTAACACTTAATCCATTCGAGTGTAAACTAATTGAGAATAGGAAAGCGTGATCTATATACAGTCTCATTATTTTACGACTCGTCTGTTGCATTATTCAACTGCTACACCGGCTCTGTCCATGTTAGAGCTAAGATTGAAAGGCCACAAATATGTTTCATTTATAATATGCATGGCCCGAGCAAATCTACTTGGTTTATATGATTTTTGTTTATCTGGAAGTGTTTCACACGCTTTTGTGTCATCCTGTAAGTTACTTTCTTATCTTTCTACAGTTTTTTTGTCATGGCATTGTCAGTGTATGTTCGACTTATGAGTTTGAGCGTACCTTTGGTATCTTTCGCCACTCTTCTGTATCATCAAATCAATCTGTTCATCGGTAAGAAAATCTAGGAAAGCAAAAGACAAAGTCCTCTGTGTGAGAGGTACATTATTGAAACTATTCTTATAGATTATTGAATGTCCTGTAAAGTATTGTGAAAGGTACAATGTAAGGTAGCATTTGGTAAAAAATTGTCCACGTTTTAAATTTCACATGATCCATTCTCACTTTGTCTTATCTATTTTCAAAGTCCATCTTTCTTCAGAATGACACCTACAATATTTAGTGAAATATACTTTTAGCTATAAAGATATGCATAAATCAAATTGATATCATAGAATGACATGATTGAGAATGACATACAGCGTGAGTATTTTCTCATAATAAGATGAACTGTGTGTTCACGTCTTCGTCCTATGGCTTTGGTGGATGTTTTGTCTGTATCTTAATATGCTAATTACTTAAGCACTATATATATACACAGTTATACACTGTACATTTCTTAATAAACAAATTGTGTCTTGTTTCAGTTGACAAGAAAGAGTTGCAGCAATGGTAAGTACGTCCGATGCTTGCCCTGAGCCATGCATTGCTAATACTGACCTTGACAGTCTACTGTGTCCTTGTTTTTTTTAATATTGATCTCGGAACCAAAGTATTCTTTACTTCAAAACTTCAAAACTGAAAGTTTTGGCTACATAACCGATAAGATGTTTATTTTCCAACAGAGAACCCGGTTATGGACAATGGTGGATAGCTGTCACATTGGCAATCATACCACATCTCATTAATTTTATATCAAGTTACAAATAATTCTGTGACTTTGTATTAAATGTGTTATCAGTAAAGTTTCCCGTCTTATCATGTTTTCTCATGAGAAGGGAGGGGGTTCCACCTAAAAATTTTGCTTTAAAAGGGAGTGACAGTAAAATCTAGATCTCAAGGACGTTGCATAGATTTTTTTTTTGCACTGTAGAATGGTCTGTAATGCACTTGGAAGTATTCGATGTAGAATATGTGAAAATCTGTACACAACTCCATGATTGGAGGTGCATAACTTCAAAAGGTGTGAATTTTAAAGGATCTTGCTTGAAAACTGCAGGAATAGTCAATAACACACAAATGGTATTGCCTTTTGGCGTGACAATTTGCTGAAAAAAAATGAAAAGCAAGTCAATCCCCTAGCCTGGACAGATACGAAAATCAATCCACATTTCCACAATAGCAGATTCATACCTTCAGCATATATACAATCTGCCCATGAAGTTTCAACGATCTTAGCTGAAAACTGCGTACCTGTTTTGATCACACAAAGTTGGTACCGTTTAAACGGTTTTCGGAAATTTCTTCTGAATAATGATATAGTCAATTCCCAAAATCTGACAAAAGAGGGAAAATTTCACAATACATGTTCAGCATTTGCCATTACTTTGGTATGTGTGCAATGTTTCTGTTATGTTTCAACCATCTGACCGGTAGAAAAACTGTTTAGATGGCCCGCATGAGGATAGGAATGCCCTTTACCGTCAGGCGTCAAACGGTAATTTTCGGCTACCCGTTAGCGTCAAATTGGTTAAAATTTTACCGTGATTCGTCAAAATATCCTTATTGTGATTCGTCAAAATATCCTTATCGTGATTCGTCAAAATATCCTTATCGTGATTCGTCAAAGGTCTCAAATAATTATCGTTACTGTTATTTTTTGGAAAAAAATTAACGTGATTCTCAGATATAAGATATACAAAGAAGGAACTGAAGATCATTGTAAAGCGTGCGATTGTAAAGAAAAACATTAGAACATTTGCTTATACAATGTGGAGCTTGGAATTACCTGCGAGATCCAATTCTACAAACAATTAAGAACCTCCTTACCGCAAATGGGGATGTGCGTGAAGAAGACCTTACATGTGAAATTACAATTCAAATATTAATGGACATTACAAAAATACAAAAGATATACAGAATCACATCCGACCTGATGTCTAAAATAGAATTCCAAGCAAGAAGGCTAGTGTTCCTCATACACAATGAACGATACCAACTGGTGATGAAAGACCAAGCAAAGAAAAAGAATGCCTGAAAGTGGGTGCAAGGATGGGAAGGGCAGCAATGAATAATTAAATAAATAACTTAAAATATAAAGGTGAATTTTTCAAGCAAAGGTCACAGACTATAAATTTTGTCTTTTCCTTCTGTGAATTATCTAAAAAGTAAATATGTGATTTAATCTGTAAATTTTATTACATTTAGTATCAGCAGACCAAAATAATCAAAACTGCCCGAAGTAAAAAATCATAAAAATCAGTCTAAACTTCCCATGTAAAAAGTCTTAAAAACTGTAAACTTCCCATGTAAAAAGTCATAAAAACTTTAAAAGTTCCTAATGTAAATAGTGTATATAATGTTGTTGTGTTATGATTGTTAATTTTCATTATTTTCGTTTATTTTTTTGGTGGTGGAACTGTTTGACATACGAAAGTATGGTCACCCTATAAAGGGTGTAAAAATCTAGAGAAGAAGAAGATTCGTCAAAATCAGTCGACTTTTTTATCGTCTTAAAGAAAGTGTACATTTTATCGTCATGCACCAAAAATTACCATTAACGTCATTTGGCAAGATTTTTTACCGTTATTCGTCATGAAGGTACCCCAGTTCCTGTAAAAACTATTATAAGGGGAAGCCCCGGGTCCACGTCATTATTTTAGTATTTACAAGATTTCCCGCGGAATGTTAACTCTAATAGTAAGAGGGTGATAGAGAAGATTCCTAGTTCTCAATTCTATTAAGCACTGTCAACCAAGGGGATGCTGACTCCCAACATGTTATACAGAATCTTAACTTGTTACCGCCGTATTTACCGTAATCTCCTAATATACATAGAGGTATAGGCAAATCTCCTTATTGAAGTAGTAGCTGGACTGAATTCTTCTGTCCCTACATTGTATACAGACAAAAGTCAAATAGGGATCTACTATGAGGTCCTATACAGGGGCGGATTTAGGTGGGGCTGGTTGCTCGGCCCCCCTTTATGTAGCTTCATTTATTGTTAATCCCGACTTTTTACCGGTTTCACTACAAATTTTGTCTAGTTTGGGGCCCCCCTCTCTATCCGCATCTGCTATATCATTTGTCTTTGATATTGTGATGACTGATTTGTGGAGGGTTTTTTGGGGGGCGGGGTGCTGGCTTGGAAGATTTTGTTAAAAAAATGTTGTGACCATGATTTTTAAGATGATATCTATAAATGAGATTCAGTGGGACTATATACAAATTGCATTGATTTCATTTGAATTTTCTCCAAAAGTTGTTTATTCAAGAATATATTTTTTTGTCTTAAAATTGAAAAGGTAAAACTTTTTTTTTCAAATTGGCAAAATTATTGGCATATGAGCAATTCAGGGTCTTATGAGACTCTTATTAAGTGTACAAGTTTAAGACTATTTGTCTTCTGCAAAATCACATGCATTATCCTGAATATGTACAATATAAAGTTATCAAGTATTTATTAAAAGAAATATGTAAAATCACTCGCAGGATATTTACTTTTATATAATAAAGATCCATTTTGTTACATCTTGTGATCTGTTTATTTGGCAATCGCCAATGGCAGTCAGCAGGGTTTAAGTACATCAGTTGTTCGACCTGCTAGTCAAATGCGTGTTGTTAAAATATACTTTTTCACTCATTTGGTCTTTTGGAAAATGTTGTTTGTGTTGTATTTAGACCCCTCTACCAAGAAATTTGTTTTGCATGCACACGTATAAAAATTGTGGTTTTTATCCAACGCAATCATATTGTTTTTAATTTAGACTTGTTTATATTTTTTCGTTTGGGCTTGTATTATATTTGCCTTCGTGTTTATATGATCTGTTCTTCCTTTTTTGACTCTTTCAAAATTCAAGAGTCTATCCTAAATTAAGGTAAATTATATGGCCTTCCAAATACCATTTCAATTCCTTACATCACACGAAGAGACATTAATTGTCGAAATCAGGATATGGTGTACAAATTTTTGCACCTCATGTTTGCAGCAGTGTACCATCTTTTCCGCAAGTTTATTGTTTTCAGTTTGGTAATTAATTAATAATAAGATCTATTTTGTTACAATACATCTTGTGATCTGTTTATTTGGAAATCGCAAATGGCAGTCAGCAGGGTTTAAGAACATCAGTTGTTCAACCTGCTAGTCAAATGGGTTTTGTTAAAATATACTTTTTCACTCATTTGGTCTTTTGGAAAATGTTGTTTGTGCTGTATTTAGACCCCTCTACCAAGAAATTTGTTTTGCATGCACACATATAAAAATTGAGGTTTTTATCCAACACAATCATAGGTTTGAACGTTGTTTTCAATTTAGACTTGTTTATATTTTTTCGTTTGGGCTTGTATTATATTTGCCTTCAGGTTTATATGATCTGTTCATCCTACTTTGACTCTTTCAAAATTCAAGAGTCTATCCTAAATTGAGGTAAATTATATGGCCTTCCAAATACTGTTTCGATTTCTAACATCGCTGAAGAGACATTACATGTAATTGTCGAAATCCAGATATGGTGTACAAATTTTTGCACCTCATGTTTGCAGTATACCATCTTTTCCGCAAGTTTATTGTTTTCTGTTTGGTAATAAATTAATCATAAGATCTATTTTGTTACATCTTGTGATCTGTTAATTGGCAATCGCCAATGGCAGTCAGCAGGGTTTAAGAACATCAGTTGTTCGACCTGCTAGTCAAATGCGTTTTGTTAAAATATACTTTTTCACTCATTTGGTCTTTTGGAAAATGTTGTTTGTGCTGTATTTAGACCCCTCTACCAAGAAATTTGTTTTGCATGCACACGTATAAAAATTGCGGTTTTTTACCAACGCAATCATAGGTTTAAACGTTGTTTTTAATTTAGACTTGTTTATGTATATATAATATTGCCCAACCTGTTCAAGGAATCTTTTTTTTCTCTCACTTGCTTAAAAAAAAATTAGTTCCAAGATATCATTTGAATTAAGGCCAGGGAAAAATGATTAAAATTGAGAATGGAAATGGGGAATGTGTTAAAGAGCCAGCAATCCGATCAAAGAGCAGAAAACAGCTGAATTGTATGTCTGTGAAGGGTTTAGTAAATCTGTAGCAGTTTGCATGCTGAAAAAAATTAATCAACTCAATGCCTCAACATCTCTGTAATTGCATGGTAGAATTTGATTAATAAGTGTATATAATTCAGCATATTCAGGATTAAGAATACAAAACTGTATGTCTTAACAGATCGATCTGTGGGTTGACAAGAAAAAAGATTAAGAACTCATTAGTTTCCTCATACTTACTAGGAAAATCATTTTTTCTCAAGTGACGAGACAAAAGATGGCAGTATTATCCTCACATTTTGATGATTTTACCACCTGAGCAATTTTGATTTGCAACCTTTTTTAATTGGCTCTTACTTGACCCCCAGGTTTTGTCTACAGTTTGTGTTCATCAAACATTTGACTCAATTCAGCAATTGAATTTTGCACATATATATGTATACAAACATGTTATACTTTTTAAAAGAAATAGCTAGAAAGTAACAATAAACTGATAAGAAAAATTAATTTGACAATACAAAATTTACATCTTAATTATTACTATCAATCTTTGTCTATAAAACTGTATTGTAAAAGACTTTAAAAACAAAAAAGATCTTCAAATAAATCAATAAATCAATATTATGTATGTATCTATTTTAGGTATAGAGATTTTATGAAAGATTGTCCAAGTGGTGTGCTGCAAAAAGAGGTTAGTGAAGGTTATGTACTGTGGATTCATTTATTTTCGTGGGTACCAATTTTCGTGGATTGATAAAAACCTGCATTTTCGTGGATATCTAATTTCGTGGTTTTGCCAAAATCTGCATACAACCCTAAAGAAAATTTGCAGTTCGTTGAACATTTGAATTCGTGGTTCACCTGTACCCACGAAATCCACGAAAATTGGTATCCAACGAATAATAATGAATCCACAGTATTCCTTCTTGATTCAACTATTACAAAGTTATAGATACTAGATTAAATTTACTACACCATATTCAGAATTAGCTATTTGAATTGATTGAGTTTTTCTGGCTAGTTATTCTAGACAGCCCTTTATAATCGACTTACCATAGGCAAGCAAGGAAATACCTCACCTTAAACCAAATCCCAGGAGGAGGGTGGTGGTATATAGAAATCACTTTGTGTATGTATGGATGTATTTGTCTGTCTGTCTGTTCATGATGGTTTGTATTATTGACACCCAACAACAGAAGGTGTGTCACTAATATACATAAAGATAAATGCATGATATTTGTGAATCTTTAGGTTGATTAAAAAAGTAAGTATTTGGAGACAAGACTAAGGTGACATAGACATGATAAGTTTCAAGTCATCCACATCATTTCGTCTGGTGGATAGTTGTCTCATTGGCAATCGTTACCACAAAGTTTTGTTTAGAAAGCTTGAGAGCAACTTCATGTCGTGTAGTTTGGTAATTTTAGTTTGTACATAGATTTTACTCCTCAAAATAACTTAAAGATAAACCCGTATCACAGTAATAATAGTCAAAGCAGTTTGTTGCTTCTCTAGTCATGATATCACGTTACAATTTTTAATTGTTGGATTGTTGGATAAAAATAGGATGTCAAGCTATTTATTAACTAAAAGACATTAAATATTTATGTTCATGTGATATACTTGTAATCAAATGACATCACATCTATAAAATCAGTGGATAAATGTAAAGTTTAAATGCAGCTTTATGGTTTTTTCTGTCCTTCTGAAGTATTTCCTGTATTCATTATGACATACCTAATTTCCTGCTATATTTATAACATGTATCTTGATATGATGAATCAGTTCTTTTTAATGTTGGTATAACAGCTATATTTTGCTATTTTGACTGATGGGGAAATTATACTGCATTTGTTCAATTTTTTTTGGCTGTTTAAGACTTCAGTTTCTTGATATGAACTTGCATCTTTGATCTTCAGTGCACATATGAAGCTTTATTGACAATACTAGAAATATGCTCAAACAGGTGCTAGGGGCCATCTTAAACTCTGTAAGGTTTATCGACAAAACTAGAATTAGGCTCAAACTGGTGCTAGGGCAAGTTAGGGGCCATCTGAAACTGTGTAAGCTTTATCGACAATACTAAAATTATGCTCAAACTGGTGCTAGGGGCCATCTTAAACTGTGTAAGGTTTATCGACAACACTAGAATTATGCTCAAACTGGTGCTAGGGGCCATTTTAAACTGTGTAAGCTTTATCGACAACACTTAGAATTATGCTCAAACTAGTGCTAGGGCCACCTTAAACTGTGTAAGCTTTATCAACAACACTAGAATTATGCTCAAACTGGTGCTAGGGGCCATCTTAAACTGTGTAAGCTTTATCAACAACACTAGAATTAATGCTCAAACTGGTGCTAGGGGCCATCTTAAACTGTGTAAGCTTTATCGACAATACTAGAATTATGCTCAAACTGGTGCTAGGGCCATCTTAAACTGTGTAAGCTTTATTGACAACACTAGAATTTATGCTCAAACTGATGCTAGGGGCCATCTTAAACAGTGTAAGCTTTATCGACAATACTAGAATTATGCTCAAACTGGTGCTAGCTAGGGGCCATTTTAAACTATGTAAGCTTTATCGACAACACTAGAATTATGCTCAAATTAGTGCTAGGGCCACTTCAAACTGTGTAAGCTTTCCATCAAAGGGAAACTGACTTTTGAGATGAAGTACAGCCATTAATGCAAAATTCATTTTTGTCGCAGAAAGCTAGACATTTGGATAGTGATCTGGCGGCGGCGACATTAACTTACTTTTTAAAAGCTTAATATTTCAGAAGATAGAAGACCTGGATGCTTCATACTTTGTATATAGATGCCTTATGATATGAAGTTTCCATCTGTCATATGTCCAATGTCCTTGACCTCATTTTCATGGTTCAGTGACTACTTGAAAAAAAAGTTAAGATTATTTGTAATGTTAATTTCTCTCTTATTATGAGTGATAGGATAACTATATTTGGTATGTGCATACCTTGCTAAATCCTCATGCCTGTCAGACAGTTTTCACTTGACCTCGACCTCATTTCACGGATCAGTGAACAAGGTTAAGTTTTTGTGGTCAAGTCCATATCTCAGATACTATAAGCAATAGGTCTACTATATTTGGTGTATGTAATGATTGTAAGGTGTATATGTCCATCTGGCAGGTTTTATTTGACCTTGACCTCATTTTTATGGTTCATTGCTCAATGTTAAGTGTTTGTGTTTTGGTCTGTTTTTCTTAAATTTTAAGCAATAGGTCACCTATATTTGGTTTATGGAATGATTGTAAGGTGTATATGTCTGTCTGGCAGTTATCATCTGACCTTCACCTCATTTTCATGGTTCATTGGTCAATGTTCAGTTTTCCTGGTTAACTTTGTTTCTTAGATACTATAAGCAAAAGGTCAACTATATTTGACACAATGATTTTAAGGTGTACATGTTTGTCTGGCAGGGTTCATCTGACCTTGACCTCACTTTCACTGTTCATTGGTCAATATATATTTTCCATGGTTTGGTCTGTTTCTTTTATACTATAAGCAATAGTCATCTATATTTGGTGTATGGAATGATTGTATTAAAGGTGTACATGTATTTCGGGTTTGGTTTATCTGACCTTGGCCTCATTTTCTTGAATCATGAATGTTAATGTGATGCTTGTAGTAAAACTTTATATTTAGGACTATCAACATAAAATCAATTGTCAGTATAGTAGGCAAGACATTTAAGCATGTGCACTCTTGTGCTATTTGTTATTAATTGTTACCCTTGACCATCCATCCATCCTGTCTTTCCATCCTTCTGTCTTTCCCTCCATCCCATTTTCATTTGAAAAGCAAGCTTGAGCGAGGACATCTTCTTTTTATGCCCCTGCCACAAAATGAAGGGGGCATTCAGTGTTACCCTTGACCATCTGTCTTTCTGTCTTTTCTCAGACACATTCTTCTTTCATTTATTAAGTGCATGTAAAGATTTTGTGTCATGAATTAATTTGTCCTATCCTTTTTTCCATTAATTTATTCTAGATTCATTGTGAGGAGAATTCATGTGGGGTATTGTTATTACAATGAATTATATGTATATTTTTTCTAAAGAATCTTGAAAACAAGTTAGGTGAATTGCAATTTAGCTATTTATAAATCAATATTTTAACAAGAACATTTCAAATTAAATGATTTAAAAAATTTGAAATTTTGTTTTTCTTTGGTCTCAAACTACATCACGTACATAAGAGTGATTTTAACAACAACCGTTAATAAACAGCTAATGAATTCTTATAACTTTGTTTTTGTAAAATACATTAAGCATGTAAAATTATGAATGTGTTTCTTAAATCTCTATGATCAGAAATTGCAATTTACTTAATTTTAAAGGCAATATTTGACAAAACGCATAAAAGGTACTAAAATCTCTTATTAACACATGAGAATAACAATAGATAATCCATTGATAATCTCTAGGGATTATCTCTATATAAATGGAAATAGAAATAGAAAAGTCAATATTTCTTGAATCTTTCAGAAAAGATGTGATAGACGAATAATTTTAATCAGGCAGAAGCAATATATTATAGATTATTGCGTAGCATTGTAATATTTCCCATAGTTTTCTTACCATATTTCTCTACATGTACATGTAATGATACCATTTGGAGTAAAACAAGGTGAATTGGTGTTTTTGTCATTTTAGATGTAATATAAGTGTTTCTATACAAAAAAGTGTTACTATAAATTTATTTGCAAGCTTGTGCAATATGATACTTTTTCATGATTAAAACAATTAAGTGTTGATGTACTTATTTTTGCCTATTTGATTGAAAAGACCAGAAGTAGACATGCCATATCCTACTAAGCCCCTGATATCAAATTCAGCTTGTTGGATGCTGGAACTATCAATCGCTGTCATGCCAAGCTTATGCTGTCACAAGGTTCATTGTCACACTCATATTTCTTTAGTATGTTAAATTTATGTCACAATGATATAGGGTTATTGCATGAATATGGGTGAATATTGCTCAGAGTTGGTTTTTAGCTCACCTGGCCCAAAGGGCCAAGCGAGCTTTTCTCATCACTTGGCGTCCGTCGTCCAGCGTCCTGCATCCGTCGTCCGTAAACTTTTACAAAAATCTTCTCCTCTGAAACTACTGGGCCAAATTTGACCAAACTTGGCCACAATCATCATTTGGGTATTTAGTTTAAAAAATGGGTCCGGTGACCCGGCCAACCAATCAAGATGGCCGCCATGGCTAAAAATAGAACATAGGGGTAAAATGTAGATTTTGGCTTATATCTCTGAAACCAAAGCATTTAGAGCAAATCTGACAGGGGTAAAATTGTTAATCAGGTCAGGATTTATCTGCCCTGAAATTTTCAGATGAATCTGACAACCCGTTGTTGGGTTGCTGCCCCATAATTGGTAATTTTAAGGAAATTTTGCCGTTTTTGGTTATTATCTTGAATATTATTATAGATAGAGATAAACTGTAAACAGCAATAAAGTTCAGCAAAGTAAGATCTACAAATAAGTCAACTTGACCAAAATGGTCAGTTGACCCCTTAAGGAGTTATTGCCCTTTATAGTCTATTTTTAACCATTTTTTGTAAATTTTTGTAATCTTTTACAAAAATCTTCTCCTCTGAAACTACTAAGACAAATTTAACCAAACTTGTCCACAATCATCATTAGGGTATCAAGGTTAAAAA